TATTTTTATTTTATGCTATGACGTCATCAAAATTATGTGACACTACGTGCCCATATATTTGAGCATAGCTCTCTTGTTTTAGGGCAAATTATTTTAATTATTTACTACAGCTACAGTATACAGGTATCACTCACGCAAAAATGTCTACGAAATGCACAGCGATAAAAATGAAAATGAACTGGGTTTGGTATCATAGAACAGGGGTTCTCAAACTTTTGATGTTGCGGAGCCCTTGAAAAGGTTGACCATTATTCACGGAGCCCCAAAATAAATGTTAAAATTGTTACTTTCCAATTAATATTCCTGAGTAAGTTAAAAGTACTTTACTTAATTTGAATGCAACACCTTTTTAATGGGGTTAATACAAGTCATAAATGAATCTAAATTTCAAAGATAAATTATATATACTAAAGCTATAAATTTGACACTTGACAAACATATTAATAAATTAGGGGTCGAATCTTTTCCCTTTTGACATTTTTGGAAGACTTAAAAGGCGCTAAAAACGCGAGCGATTGCATTTTGTTACAATCGCCGATTGTTTTCGTCAGTATGGCGTGTTTTAAACCTTAAACATCTTTACGCCGATGTTTATTCTTCCTAAATCAAAAATTTCCATTGACATATACGTGTATTGTTCCACAATGACAACGATAATTGCTTTTTTGTTCTCGTGGGGAATTATGAGTTCAATGTAAAAAAACATGTTATCATATTATAGTCATCGGCGACGAAATACTAAAAATAATACTTAATAAAGAGGTAAATCCGCAACTCGAATTTCTTGATTGGAAAGCGGCATTCTAAAATATTAAAACTGAAACTTAAATGGGAGATAACACTATAAGTGTTGTTTCAGCAGACTTTTATAGACATTGTGAATCACAAAATTTAGTTTTATGTTTACTTTGGTTATTCATCATAGCAACTGCGAAATCGAAACACAGTCAATTGTGCATGCGTTGTACCTTTTAGCCGCATGCAATAAAATAAATTACAATCGTTCATATTTTGCCCAGACCTTGGGTATTTTATGTTATTGGACACGTTTAGTGGCCATAACGATCGTTTCAATATTATGTTGTTGTTGTTCTTTGACACGTTTTTAAACAAGAGAGCTATGCTCAAATATATGGACACGTAGCGCCACCCAATGGCAATAATTTTGATGACGTCATAGCGAAAAAAAAAAGTAATAGCCTTCTGGAGAAAAATTTTATCTTCAACCACTGAAAATTTCAAAGCAATTGGTCCAGTATTCGAAGAGAAAAGCGACTTTTTAAAAACGTGTCAAAGAACAACAACAACAAGGACAACAAGAACAAGAACAACAACAACATAATATTGAAACGATCGTTATGTCCACTACGTGTCCAAAAATCGCTTTTCTTTTCGAATACTGGACCAATTGCTTTGAAATTTTCAGTGGTTAAGATTAATTTCTTCGCTAGAAGGCTATTACTTTTATTTATTTCAAAATTTTGCGTGAATTCTATGAAATTTGATATTTCGTCTAAAATTTTGCTGTATTATTTTTTATCCATGGGAACACGGATTTTAGTCAGTGTCATGACTGGCTGTACGTTTTGATTCGGCAAAATTCTTGCTACTGGAAATTCAGAACTTTTTTTGAGGGTACCGGTAGCAGGCTTGCAAATCTACGCGAGTACGCGAGTCATACTCTAGTCTAGACTCGCGTATTTTGCCCTACCCGAGTCTAGCTATTACTCCCGTAAAAAACGTCATTACTCGCGTCCAGCAGTACACGAGAGTCCGAGGCGATTTTTTCCGCCGCCTCTCTCTCTTTATTCTTTAGTGACGTAAAATCGTTTGCGGGCGATGGTTTATGATGTCACAATAGTACATTACAGCGAAAAGCGAGGAATCAAGCACGGGCATGCCTCCGGACGACTTGGCGTTGGCGAATGCAGAATGTTCCCTTGTAATAAGGCAGACTGCGAATGCGTATTATGAATTTAATAGAAGTGTTGCAGACTAACAAAGATGAGATGTGGGTAAGACTAGGGCTAGTGTAATTAATTAGTTATATTAACGGCTGTTTTGTTGTAAATTACCGGTAAAAGGGTATCTTTGCGTAACACCGTTTTTTGTTTGTTTAAAAATACCACAGGAGATATTATAAATTGTATGATTAGAGTAAATGGAGGAAAAATCAAGGTCCGTCTCTGTAGCGGCCTGGAAGTTTTGGCCAAACAGATTAAAGCATAGGTTCTCAAAGTGCTCCGTACGGAGCCCCAGGGCTCCGCAAGAGAAACCCAGGGGCTCCGCGAGCTATTCGATTACTTTTTAAAATACTGACTAATTTCGTAACTGTTCAAAGAAGCAACGAGAATATCGGTCGGAGACCGAAGACTTATCGATCTTAGATCGGTAATTAGTTAATAACTCGCTAATTATACGACATAATTAACCCAAAATCGATAGGCGTCTGGTCCGAGGTAAGGTGCATGCACATGCAAAATTTGGAGCAGATTCAACCACGCGTTCGTGAGATATCGCGTTCATCTAACACACACACACACACACACACAGACAGACATACATACAAATACCTATCAATATACTTACCGATCTTAAGATCGATAAGTAATAACAGCTTTGATAATATATGACAACAGTATAGCCTCGAAATATGGCAAAGAGGCGTAATTAAAAAATGACATTATTTATAAGCAGGAGCGCAGCAAGGATTCTTAAGAGGGAGGTGGTTCAAAATTGGGATCGGAAATTTCCGCGCAACATTTTTTGCGATTAAAAAAACGGATAACGAGATTTCTGTTGCGTAAAATATTCAATCCATGTCCATGTCCACACATTCAATCGTTACTCACGTTTTATTCGAGATTACTATTAGGATTACTAAAATTAAAGCATACTATTCTAAAATAACATAAAATACGTGATAAACTGCCAACTATAAATAAATTGGAGTCGTATTTTTGCGATCTTGGAATTTGTCAAACTTGATTCGTTCTTTCGCACTTAAGATTATTTTTAAGCAAGATATCGTCGTTTAAAAAATCGCAATGTCTAGGCAAAATACGAACAATTGAAATTTATTTTATTGCATTCGGCTCCGTTGGTAGTTTCAGAATGAAAAAGGGTACATCGCGGATCGCGCGCACAATTGATTGCGTGCGGCTCCGTCGGTAGTTTCAAAATGGGGAAAAAAGGTACATCGCGCGCACAGTTGACTGTGTTTCGATTTCGCAGTTACTACGATGAAAACCTAACATAACACCAAATTTTGTGATTTACAATGTCTATAAAAGCGTTTTCAATCTGAGGCGAGTCTGCTGAAACCAAACGTGTGATCTTCCATTTTAAGTTTTAGTTTTAATATTTTAGAATGCCGCTTTTCAATCAAGAAATGTGAGTTGCGGATTTACCTCTTTATTAATTATAATTTTTAACATGACTATAATGATAATGACGTCGATGACTATAATATGGTAACATATTTTTCACATTCAACTGATGATTCCCCACGAAAACAAAAAAGCAATTAATGTCGTCATTGTGTAACAATACATGTATATGCCGATCGACCCCTAATTTATTAGTATGTTTGTCAAGTGTCAAATTTACAGCTTCAGTATATATATATAATTTATGCTTAAAATTTAGTTTTATTTATGACTTGTATTAACCCTATTAAAAAAGGTTCAGCATTTAAATTGGGTAAAGTACTTTTAACTTGCTCAGGAATATTAATCTGAAAGTAACAATTTTAACATTTATTTTGGGGCTCCGTGAATAATAGTCAACATTTTCAAGGGCTCCGCAACACCAAAAGTTTGAGAACCCCTGGATTAAAGGACAGTTTTACGTTCGGTTTCAACGAAGATAATACCAAAGTCGTACATGCAGCATGCATTGTATGCAAAAAACATTGTGACAGAATACAGTGCGGCTATGGAGGCAAAGTTTTTAATGATGTGACGACTTACGGGGAGAATGGCACCATATGGATTTTAAGATATAATTTAGAACGACACCTCAATTCCGAGGGCCATTTAAAGTGTGTCGAAATTGAGAATGGGAAGCTCCCGACGCAAACAAGTATCGCTCGCTTATGGGGCTGCCAAAAACAGAGGGCGGAGAACGCCATAAAACCTCTTGTTCGTACTGCACTGTATGTCTCTAGAAAGGAACTGCCTTTCAATGCGTTTGCGGACTTATTACAACTGTGCGCAGACAATGGCGGCAAAATAACCACGTCATATGGTAACAGAGAAGGTTGTAAAGCCTTTATACATATTCTCGCGGAGGAGATGTTGTCCTCAATAAGAAATGAAGTGCACAAAAAAGTAAATTTTTTTAGCTGGATGGTGGATGGGTCAACAGTCGTTAAGCGCAAGTTATCGTACGAGTCGGAACTAATTTACATAAGAATAGCGCACGAATGCAAACCAGCTGTACACGAAATTGACTTGATTTCAATGAAGGAATATGTTCGAGTGGACGCTAACAATTTGTACCACGCTACATTGCGCTCTCTGTTGAGTTTCCTGATTCCCGATATAACAACAAATTGTGAGACACCCATTGAAAATCTTGTAGAACTTATTAAGCCTTTTTCTTCAAAAATTATCGGGGCCGGCGCCGATGGCGCTGCTGTTAACTTTGTGCGTAAAACGGGTTTACTTAAAAAATGGGAGAACGTGTGCCCTGGTCGGCTAATCAAAGTACATTGCTATTCACATCGAATTGAACTAGCATCGAAAGACGCATTGACCCCCCATTTCAAACAAGTTATTGACTTCCTTATTGACATATATTATCATTTTCGGAATAGCCCTAAAGAATGGGCCGCCGTATGTAATGCGGCAGAAAAGTTGCAGACCGCGGTTGTTAGTGTACCAAAGTCGCAAGGCACAAGATTTGTGGCACACACACTCAACGCACTCCATGCGCTAAAAACAAATTGGATTGTTTACATACATCATTTCACTAACCAGAGGGAGGCTGAGTCAGATATGAAGGCTGAGAAATTTCTTGTTGATCTTCACAGCTTCAAGTTCTATATCCTATGTCGCCAATACGAGGATATCGTAAATTGGGTATCTGCCACGTCAATCGCAATACAATCAGATCATGACGGGTCATCCATTATTGACGCTACCAAGCAGATAAAACGGTTGAAAATGAAATTAACTTCTATGGAACTTCGCGGCGGTCCTGCAGAGCGAGAAGCGCTCGATGCTTATGACAGGGGCGACCTAAATTGCACTCCGCTTCCGTTCCGTTTTACCAGACACGAAGATGGTGGACAAACGAAGGCAATACGCATTACTTGTAAAAGGCGTGAAACACCGACCGCCAGACTCCTGGAACACGAGGAAAGCGTGGTTTTTCATTCTGCAGAGGAAACCATCATCCAGAGATCCCAAACAACAAGATCGCAGTGCATAAGAAATCTGCGTGATTGCCTGGACGAGCGATTTACAGAAATAGAAGAACAAGAAAACATTTTGAGTAAGTTATCATGGCTGAACCCTAGGCTTGCACGTAATTGACAAAAATCAATTCCGTAATTACGGCAAAATCGATTACGTAATGACCCCGTAATTGCGATATTTTTTCACACATTTAAACCTATCATAACAACCAATTGAATCCACTTCATTTTCGATTGGGACATCGAGTTTGGGTTTTCATATTCCTGGCAGTACTACACGCCGGCGACAGATGTTAAGACAAGAGTGAATTCAAATTAATTTTATTCTGATTTTTATCTTTTGTGCTAGCTTTGATTTCCTTTATCACCTTCGCAAATTAACCGTCCCAATTTTATGCGATCAATTTTATCATTACCGACACTGGTATACGGATATTTATGAAACGATAGTTGACTTTTTTAAAATCGTATTAAAAATTTATTTCGGGTTTCCAATTTATCAATGCCACAACGAGCGTATTCTCTCGTTTGATTATACTTGCGCTTGCCTCGGGACGAAGACTTGTTATTGCACCGTTTTTAACATTATTCGACTTTACTACCTAGTCAGCATTTTATAATAATTATTGATGCTGACTTATTGACGTTATTCCGATTACCAATTCCGAAAATTCCAATTCCGAAAATGGTTCTCGCACAGAGTAAACACACTGGCTCATACTTGATATTTGATAGTAGTTAAATTGAGAATATTGAACTGTTGAAACAAAAAAAACGATTGTCGAAATTCTTAAATCTCGTTGCCTTGGTTAAATATAATCCAATGATCAGGACATTTTCAATTAAATACTGCACAAAGATAGTTATACATTAAACATTTAGGCTACAATTTAGCTTTTTTTTTTAATTTTAATCATGCATTGTGGTGGAGAAATCCCACTATTTAAATAGGGGTAACTATAAAAATAGAATAGGATTCTGGATTCGATTCAAGTATTCTGAAACAGTGGTTCCCAACAGCCGGTCCGCGGACCGTTAACGGTCCGCAAAGGATTTTTACCGGATCGTGGGAAATCCCGTCATATTGTTGTTTCTCTGCCGTCTCAATCGCTTTACCGATGCCGAAAAAACAAAGTTGCGTTGGTTCATTACGGAATTTCTTTTCCGTCGTCATATTGCTGTTTGATAAGCATGACATTAATTATCACGGTGACGTATTGGCAAGAGAGAGAAAAGTGAGAAAAACGGCTGCAAATACCGAAGCTTTAACTTCTTTTTAAAACTTTCATTTTCTACAATCGACGGAATTGACTGCTTTGAAGAGAGCTCGTTTCAATCGTGAAAGTGCTCGACCAATATTTACGACTTTACGTAATTCGTAACTTCCCTTCCGTAACTCGAAATAATTCCGTAATTCCGTAAATCTGTAAATTACGTGCAAGCCTACTGAACCCTGAAATCTTGATGTCGGATGGCGGGATTAATGCGTCCGTCCCTGAATATGGCAATCAAGATCTTTCACAAGTCTTTGAGTACTTCAAAGTACCTCTACAGGCAGCTGAGAATGGTAGAGATTGTCTCACTGATTGGCGATCACATCTCGGACACAATATGATAAAAGATCTTCTATTAATTGCCACGCGAAAAGAACAGTTCGAAGACGGGGCCATTCGAGAAAATCTGGTCAACAAGGCTTCCGCCCGATTTATGGGAAGCGATGGGACGTCTGAACGAGGTCTCGTGAAACAACGTATAAATTCAATTTTAGGGGGGTTGAAAACGGCAAAGCCCAGCTTGGTACAACCTCAACTAATAAACATCGACGATAGCTCGTCGGAAGAAGACTAAAACTGTGATATGTGAACCTGAAAGCGTCTCAAGCATTTCTTTGTTCGTCGACACAATTTCTAACCTTTCTTTTTATACATTTTAAATGATGCGAAGTCGACGGGCGGCGATTAGCGTTTAATATTCAATTTCGTTCTTTCTGTGCGATGTTTATTTTGCATGAACCCATCTGCTACATGCGAACTTATTTTATAGATTTCAGTTTGTACGGCAAATGTCAGACTGCATGAATGGTTTTGTTTATTAAAAAAAAAAAAAACAGGCGATGGCAACGGCGACTGCCGTTTATTAAAGTTCCTCCCTTTATTTTGCAAAACTTGAGTTATTATTTTCTTTATAGGGTAACTTGTTGAGAGTTATTCACATGGTTGATTACCCCGATATATAATTAGGTCATTTACGTCGTGCGGGGAAAACGGCGTCGCAGAGCACGCAGCTATCTTGATTAGTATTTAATGAGACGCTCGCAAGTAGCAATATCGCAGAACGAGGGTACCGACGGAGTAGTGTTTATCGAGCGAAAGTAGGTGTGTAGATAGTGTGTGCGTAGATATAATTAGACACATTGACTCGTGCCTGACTCGCGTAACATTTTCCTGGGACGGGAGTATATGTGACGTCACTATGACGTCATTGAATCTTTCGAATTCCGTTAGGAGGTCGACGAGAGTATGCCTAGACTCTCGTTTTCGGGCGCGGATTTGCAAGCCTGCGGTAGCGTCAAAGGTACCGGTAAAGACTGATTCGCTCTGGTCTAACGTGTCCATATATTTGTGCGTAGCTCTCTTGTTTTAGAATAGTATTCTTTCATTTTAGTAATCCTAATAGTAATCTCGAATCAAACGTGAGTGACGATGAGCACAATTAGAATTATTACGACAAGACACTTTAAATGCAATTTAAATGAAGAATGTTGCGTAGAAATTTCCAATTCCAATTTTGAACCCTCTTAAGAATCCTGGCTGTGCTCCTACTTATAAATAATGTCATTTTTTAATTCCGCCTTTTTGCCATATTTCGAGGCTATATTGTTGTCCAATTTTATCAAAGCTGTTATTGCTTCTTTGAACAGTTACAAAATTAGCCAAGTCAGTATTTTGAAAAGTAACCGAATAGCGCGCGGAGCCCCTGGGTTTCTCTCGCGGAGCCCTGGGGCTCCGTACGGAGCACTTTGAGAACCTATGTCATAGAACATGAAAATAGTGACATGCATTTACTCATACACATAATATATATAGATCAACTGTTTTTTTTTTGTGAGTTCTTTAGAAGAGCAGTCGGTGAATAACAAGGCGAATCAAGTAAAATGGCGAAGGAATTCTCTTATCTTTCAAATGAATATAGCTTAAATGAAAAATGTGCATAGTGTTTGTCATAAAAATGCTTTGACAATCTGTTCAAGCGTTAAATACATTCCGGAAATTTGGCAGGAAATTATATTCACGTTTAAATTTTGTCATTAATCATCTGTACTAGGTACGGTACTAAACTGGCTGTCTGATTGAAGTGAAAACGCGACAGACAGTTTAATATTGTTTTTTCAGAGAGCATTAGATATAATTTATATTTTCGCAGCCTATATAAATGGAAACAGGGAGGAGAATAGATGTGATTGATATATGTGTTACATGGGATGTGGTTTATATAAAAAATTATAATAGTACTAGTTTTGATTTAAGTTGAATATTAAATAAAGATAATGAGGGGGGACACACACTTTCGTTCAAATGTTTATACACGCTGGTATGATGCATCATTGTCATGGCCTATTTAATGTTTATAATAATATATCAGAAATAAAAATTACTGGTGCTTTCAAGTTTTACGCACCATATAAAACTATTTAGAAATAGGCATATAAATAGCTCTATTATTACTGTGTATATTTCAAGCATGTTGGTCTTAGAGGTCACGTTACCTACTATTAGTGATTTTTAAATTTACAAGAAAAAGCATACTCAAGTTTTGTCTTATGCCTTTCTAAATATTTTATACAAGTATATTAAAACTTTTCAAGCTTAATGCATTTTTTGTTGACATGTTTTCAGTTTATACAAATATATAAGGATGCAGCGTAGGTGTGAATGACTGATGTCATTAGACAATTGAGTATCTTCAGTAATTACATCCTCAGCAAAAAAAATTAACTTCTAAAATGGGAAAACCTGATGCTTGGAAACAATCCAAGAAATCCCTTAGAGATGAAGAGTTTTTGGAAACATATGAACGCATTCAAGAAAAAAAGTTATTTTGTAAAATTTGTGAAAAATCTTTTTCAACACCAAGTTCATACAACCGCCACATTCGAGTCCATACTGGTGAAAAACCCTATACTTGTGAAGAATGCGGAAAAAGTTTCCGACAGACAGGTAATTTGCAGGTACATATGCAAGTTCATACTGGAGAAAAGCCATACAATTGTGAATATTGCGATAAGCGCTTTGTTCGCAAAGATTACTTACAGACGCATGAAAAAATTCATAACGGAGAAAAACCATACTCTTGTAAACATTGTGGAAAGTGCCTCACAAGCAAATCCAGTTTACAGGGGCATGAAATGAGCCATACAGGAGAGAAACCTTTTGCTTGTAAAGAATGTCAGAAGTCATTTAACAGTAAATCTGGTTTGCAGAATCATATTCGCATCCACACTGGAGATAAACCATATACATGTATACATTGCGGAAAATCCTTTTACTTATTGAGTACTTTAAAACGGCATGTACGAATCCACAGTGGAGAAAAACCATATGCTTGTAAACATTGTGACAAGCGCTTCGCGAGCCAAGCTGGTTTGAAGAAGCATGAAATGAACCACATAGGATGGAAACCTTTTATTTGTAACAAATGTCAAAAGTCTTTTAGTTCTGAAATAAGTTTGCAATGTCATCTTCGAACTCACCCTGGAGAAAAAACATACACATGTAAACATTGTGAAAAATGCTTCTACTCTGTACCTGCTTTCAAACAACATGTTCGAATTCATAGCGCAGCAAGATCGTATATTTGTAAACATTGTGGCAAGGGTTTCAAGAGCAATGGCAGTCTGCAGAAGCATGAAATTATCCATACAGAAAAGAAACTATTTGTTTGTGGAATATGTCAGAAGTCCTTAAGTTCCAAAATCAATTTGCAAAGACATATTCGTACTCATACTGGAGAAAAACCATACACTTGTGAACATTGTCATAAAAGATTTTGTAACCTGCGGAGCCATACTGGAGAAAAGCCATATACTTGTCAATAGGCTTGCACGTAATTGACAAAAATCAATTCCGTAATTACGGCCAAATCGATTACGTAATGACCCTGTAATTGCGATATTTTTTCACACATTTAAACCTATCATAAAAACCAATTGAATCCACTTCATTTTCGATTGGGACATCGAGTTTGGATTTTCGAATTCCTGGCAGTACTACACGCCGGCGACAGATGTTAAGACAAGAGTGAATTCAAATTAATTTTATTCTGATTTTTATATTTTTTGCTAGCTTTAATTTCCTTTATCACCTTCGCAAATTAACCGTTCCAATTTCATGCGATCAATTTTATCATTACCGACACTGGTATACGTATATTTATGAAACGATAGTTGACTTTTTTTAAATCGTATTAAAAACAAGAGAGCTACGCACAAATATATGGACACGTTAGACCAGAGCGAATCAGTCTTTACCGGTACCTTTGACGCTACCGGTACCCTCAAAAAAGTTCTGAATTTCCAGTAGCAAGAACTTTGCAGAATCAAAACGTACAGCCAGTCATGACACTGACTAAAATCCGTGTTCCCATGGATAAAAAATAATACAGCAAATTTTCGACGAAATATCAAATTTCATAGAATTCACGCGAAATTTTGAAATAAATAAAAGTAATAGCCTTCTAGCGAAGAAATTAATCTTTAACCACTGAAAATTTCAAAGCAATTGGTCCAGTATTCGAAGAGAAAAGCGATTTTTTAAAAACGTGTCAAAGAACAAGAACAACAACAACATAATATTGAAACGATCGTTATGGCCACTAAACGTGTCCAATAATGTGGGGTTTCCAATTTATCAATGCCACGACGAGCGTATTCTCTCGTTTGATTATACTTGCGCTTGCCTCGCGACGAAGACTTGTTATTGCACCGTTTTTAACATTATTCGACTTTACTACCTAGTCAGCATTTTATAATAATTATTGATGCCGACTTATTGACGTTATTCCGATTACCATGCTTCATTTTACATTAAATCATTTCGCGGCCTAAATGTTGTAACATTATTTGCAACAAATTTAGATCAAATATTAATTATTTGCGCATAATTTAAATACCGTACTTATATTATATGGCTTTTCCGAAAACACAAAGTTATATCGCAAAAAAATGCATATTGTGACATTTATTTTGCACTCACGAAAAAATTACTTCTACTTTTTAAACTTTCACTTTTTACAATCGACGGAATTGACTGCTTTAAAGAGAGCTCGTTTCAATCGCGAAAGCGCTCGAACAATAATTACGACTTTACGTAATTCGTAACTTCCCTTCCGTAACTCGAAATAATTCCGTAAATCTGTAAATTACGTGCAAGCCTACTTGTCAACAATGTGGAAAGTGTTTTTCGCACCATTCCAACTTGAAAAGTCATATTCAGTCGCATGCTGGGAAAAAAGCATACGCTTGCAAATATTGTGAAAAGTGTTTTTCAACAAATTATAGCTTAAATACCCACATTCGAATACATACTGGAGAAAATCCATATACATGTCAACAATGTGGAAAGTGTTTTTCGTGGAGTTTCAATTTGAAAAGACATAGTCGAACTCACACGTCTAAATGACTGAAACTTTTATGATATTTGAGAGTCATCGCCATTAATTTCTGAGTTTGTTTTTCTAATTTATTTTATCATGCCAGAGTGCGTTTATTAAAGTTTAATCAAGTAATCTCGCACCAGAATTTAAAATGAATATTTTTGCCGTTGGTTACAGCTAATCCATTGTTTTTACATACATTTCCCATTCATTAAAGTTGTAACCGAGAATTTGATTAACAAGAGATAAAAATGGAGCTATCTGTATAAAAATTTTAGGTGGCTCCATCTATGTCAGTATGTCCCCGAGTCTATGCATCTGGGACAATAACAATACTGACAAGGAATGGTAACCGGACGAAAGGTAGCTATATGACTAAATCGGTTTATCAGCCTCTTTTACAGTTTTTCATATTTATCCCAAAGGAAAGGAAATTCGATAATTATGTTGTATTCTTCCCAATAACGGCAACTTAGCCAAAATGAATTATATGTTGACTTCGCGCTCAATTAAATGTCATAAAATAGTCAATCGGGAGCAAGGTGACCCATTTTTGTACCATTTTTAAAAGACATTATTGCGATACACCAATGTGATGCTGTACAATTCTGGCACAACAATCGTGCAGTGCCATCTAGTCTTTTGGGCTTTTCTTATAACGTTAACGAAGTGCAAGGAATTCAACTGAATCCCGTTTTATCAACATGTATGTAATTTATGAACTAATGGGACGTCATTTTATGTTGAGAAAAATGATGTGTTTTCAGTTACATTTTGAAAAACGTATTTTGGACAATTACCGCCTTACAAACTGACGGTTAATGCGACTTTCGATACCTTGTAGCGTGTACAGAAGAATATTTACTGTGTGTTTTAACATTATTAACCACTTATTTCCGTTATGATATATTCAGACGACGTTTTATGCGAGAACGTTGATGACATATTTTCCCTCCTGAAAGTATTGCTCGTTTTTTTTTATCGTTCTTTGTTAGGTAGAAATTTGGTTTCATCACACATACTTAGGATAGGATTTACATATTTATCCCGGGGGAGAGGAAAGCCGATAAGACGGCTTATTCATATGGCGAACCACGGCCTCTCGTCCGGTCACCATTCCAAGTCGGGTATGGGATTAGATTTACTGTATTGTTTGTTTTCGGAAGCATGGACTTGGTGGTGGAGGAAGCCGTAACAGACCAGCGGTTACGTGAACCACCCAACGATGGCGAGGAGTCCAGCAATCCTCTCGCACATAACCATCCCTGCATGGGATGCGAACCCACGCAGAGTAGTTAGAGGTGCGGTGGCGTGCGTATTCCTAACGCTTAGCCCGTTGAGCCACAACGCGGCGCCTTGAGCCACACCGCCGCGCATTAGGAATTTGAATGTATTTCGTTATCTGCTATTTGTACTAATCTAATTCGATCGTACAACTTTACAATATATAAACATTTGGGATTACAATCTATTGTGTGCTTATTGGACACGTAGTGGACATAACGATAGTTTCAATAATATGTTGTTCTTGTTGTTTGACACAGAATAACACACCTAGTGGAAATATTAAAAAACCGCTTTTCTCTTGGAATACTGGACCAATTGCTTTGAAATTTTCAGTGGTTGGAGATAAAATTTTTCCCCAGAAGGCTATTACTTGCTATGACGTCATTAAACGTTCTGCGGACATCGGACGCCATTTTGTGTCCTACTGTACCGCTTTGCTTTGTGTGAATATATTTGTAGACTGTGATCTGACGGTACGGTGAACCGTACTGTACTGCGAACAGACGTGTCCATATATTTGGGCCTAGCTCTCTTGTTTGACTTCTAAAGGAGGAGTCAGTCAGTTGAGGGTTTACTCTGCGAAAGTACGTTACATAGTATTGGGCAAAGAATACGCAGATATTACGTCCAATCTTTCCATATATTGCGTTAAAACAAATATGAAAGTGTTGTATTCATCCCACTGTATTATTTACTGTGACATTTCAATGTATACAAGATATGTACTACAAAACAAAGGTAATAATCTGTTAAGGCATGTTCTTAGAAAAGATATTCAATGAAAGTAAGTAATTATCTGTGTAAAGTTGTTATGCAAATGATTTTGAACGCTATGCAAATGATTTGAATGCAAATTTTGAACGCCACGCTCAAATTATCGTCCGCATAACAGCGCTAACAATTGACGATTTGGCGACAAATAAATTTGGGAAATTTGACAGGAAATTATGTCCGCGACTAGTCGGCTATTATTAGTTGGTTGAACATTTGTACGAGGCGAGTAGATGCGTGGAAAGCTCAGTCATATTTTCAGTAAATATGGATCGTTTTTATTATTTAGACAGGACTGTCAAGTTAATTTGTTTGAATAACTGAAAAAATAATCGTAATTTGAAAAAAAATTGAAGTTCAAGCAGAGTATGGTTTTTAGGAATAAAGAATATGAATATGAGGATCTTTTGTTCAAACAATTCAGATTGGATAATTACTTATGGTTTTATTTTGAGCGTTAGCGGAATGTTTTTTTTGGTGGGAGGCTTTGTACAACAGATCCCTGCTTGCGGCGAAAAGCGTATGTATATCAATCAATCGTTTATTTTGTCATCACAAAAAAACACGTTCAAACATAAAGTGACATAATGAATAAATTACAGTACTAATCATGTTTTTGTGTGACCGGAGTCGCGAGGGACCTAAGAAGGTCTTCAAGCAGCGACACCTACAGCGCTACAGGTTAGAATAAATATAATTAAATGAGGGATAAAATGAATAAATCCTAGGAATAAGTCACAACTGATACAATTACAGCGACATTCGAAATGTATGCGATTATGACACAGTAAAACAGAAAATGTAACTTTCACGGAATAATTACTAACAACTAATAAAAACGCGAGGAAAGCAAGATAAAAGCACAGAAAAAATATAGGAAGGGCAAGTTTGGCGGAATATGCAACTAAAAGCAATATAAGGCAAACAGTAAATCGAAAATATTTACAGCAAATGCAATTTAGGAGACACTTACGAAAAATTGATAAGGTCTAATGAGGAATACAAACAAACTATTACATCTATATAATGTACATAATAAAGAGGAAAAGATAAAACGGCCTGGTCATTGAAAATAATAGCGAACGTAGGTTAAGGGCAATAAGCTATCGCTCTCCACTCTGAACGATTTTTGAATCAACTATTAATGTAGCAGATACTCTCGGATTCCGACTCCTTGCACTTATTTTCGTTCGGGTTGATTGACGTTAGCCAGTGTAGGCCAGATCGTTACGGTAATAAAAAGTAAGCGATCTTAGTAGAAATTTCAATGGTTACCCGTACTGGTATAAGAGGAGAGATAATCACCGATATATTTATTTCGTATAATATAGCAATATTCGTGATTTAGCCAAGTGAACCATACGTTAGACTTATATTTGATGACATCGTCTAGGACCCAGGGGTGCGCAACATACGGCCCGCGGGCCGGGTCCGGCCTGCTGACTGTACATCAGTACAATATGATATTACATTATTACACTTTATTCATTATGGGTTTTTTGGTCTCTATTTTTTTCTAGTTTAAACTTTATATTAAGCGCGATTTATAATTTTCTTTCTTGCATTAGCGAATAAATATGTGATTAAGATATTGAATACTATTCATGTTATAATCCAGCCCGCCGAGAATTTCATTTTCCCACATCTGGCCCGCCGACTAGAGCCCACCCCTGGTTTAGGTAATACTTCGATTACAAATCCCGGATCTTTAGTACAAACAAAACCACCGCCACCAATGAAAAACTGTGACATTTGAAAAAAATACACCCGCTACGTTTTAAAATTAAAAATATTAGTAATCATCCAATCAGGGTTCGGATTAGTAACGATTTTAATTTCCAACGCAGTCTATATTTCTAATCCTAACTAGATATTTAACAATGTTTTTTTTTATTTTAAGCGGTGGAAGGGGGGTTTTTGGTGGGGGTTTTGTACATAAAATCCTGGTACACATACTACGTTCCGTTGTCCGCCAGCTTGGTTCACATACTATGGGAGCGCCCTACGTTGTGTCTTATAGTCCAAAACGCCGTTTGTGTGGGTGAAAACCTAACCAAAGCAATTAATTGACAGCGCGCCCAAAACCCCTTGTGCCTTATGGCTTGTAAAATAATGTAACTTAATATGTGACTGGACTTCCCACTTTTGCATCTACTCGCCTATTACAAACGTTCAAATAACTAACAATAGTCGACTTCCCGTCAAATTTCTAAAATTTATTCGGCGCTCGGGCATATTGTTAGACCGGTTATTTGCATGATTGAGCTGATATACAGCCATCAATGTAGAAAATGTTTTCGTACAAATTCTGCACTTGTAGTCATATTAGAACACATATTGGAGCAAGGCCATACACTTGTAAGCATTGCGGAAAGTGTTTTTCGATGAGTTCTAGCTTGCAAGAGCATATTCGAATCCATACTGGAGAAAAACCATACCTGTGAAGAATGCGGACAATTTTTTCCCCGAAAGCCAACTTTAAAACGCCATATTAGAATACATACTGGGGATAAGCAATTCATCTGTAAAAAATGTGGAAAATCATTCTCTAGGAAGTTTACGCTACAGAGCCATATTAAAATCCATACTTGAGAAAAAACCCTTTTGTTACCTTATTATGAGTTGGTTTGCGCGAGACTAACTCCCTATCCTTCCTGTGTGCCTTTATGATAGTGGATATGTATGCGCATTATGCAAGTATACTGTAGTTGCTAGCATGAATAAATAGGACTATATTATGCAGTTCACTAGTCCTGGTACACACTAACACATTTAGTGTGTACATTGTCAATACTCAGATTTTTCCCCGTCAGGCATAAATCCTTATCCGACAATTAGATAAATGTCTGAGGTTGGTTATATCAGGGGTCCGCAACCACTTTTTAGCGCGACCCAACAAAAATTTTTCTAACTTCTCGCGAACCAAGCATTTGGTAAACATGTAATTAGTTATCGATTTTAAGACTTGTCGACACTAGCCTTTTTTTTGCACAAAATTATATGAAACTTATCACATAAAATTGTGAAAATAGCGTTTATTATGACTAATGCAAATTATAAGCTTTGTGTATAATACACAGCATATCAAATCGAGGTTTAATTTGGGAGACGGCAACTCGAAGATATTTTTTTACCTCTAGCCTTGATCTGTAATTGTATTTTAAAACGCTGATAGGCGTGGAAAAATGTATTGGTTTT